AGGCCTATCGGCTTTGGGATGTGAGAGTGACATGAGAGAGAATTCAAACTCACCAGCTGAAACTTCCAGTTGCTGTTAACATGGATAGAACAAGCCCATGCAGCAGCATCTTGTCAGGCAAGACTCACTCACTGACCCTTTCTGTCATTTCCTGGCTTCCTTGAGACTTCTCCTTACAAACAAGCAAACAAACAAACCCCTGAATTTCTCTAACATGTGATTTCCTCCCAATGCCATAATGCTGGATTACTCCTAAACCAGAGAGCATCACTCTGTGATACAGGCTGCTTCCTGAGCTAGGAGCAACAGCTCTGCTGGAATACCTCCTCCTGCATTGTCTGAAACACTATACAGGATGAGCAGAATCTGGGAAGACAGGGAAAATGGAATTACAGGCTTGTGAAACGGACACTAACAAACCCCTGAAGTGTTGAGCTCCCTCCGCTGCATCTGTGTTTAATCCAGTCATCAGACAGTCTCTGTTTAACCAAATATTTGACTTCAGAATTGGGCCTGAATTGTTATTGGCAAAGCTTCCAAGCTCCACGGGTCCCTCTGACAAGCTGTTCCTCTGTGGAAGCCTTGCGAGGAGATGAATGCAGCCTTTGAGGAAAGTGCTGGATCCCTTCTCAGGCTTCCCGAGTGGGTTTGTGGAGTCCTGTCAGGTGTCCAGAGTTTCTGAAAGCTTCACGTATTGACTGTTAGGAGCTACAGGGCTGATGTTTGTGTGCATTGCTGGGGTGTTCCCAGAGGAGTTTTGGCTTCGCAGCATGTCACAGCAAAAAAGATATCAAAGAAAGTCCCAAAAATAACTTAGTCTACAGAACAACTAAAAGCCTAACCCAGACAAAAAATAAATAAGATGGAGCCACACATGAAGCCATGCAGCCAGAGCTGTAACGTGTACTCCATTCTAACGGGACATACCTGGAAGCGTGGTTTGCAAACCAGGACACACCATTAGTCCCTTTCATACCCACAGCGGGGACATAAAGCCCCTCAAACATACAGTTCCTCATGGCATCAATGGCAGCTCTGTGCCACAGTGCCTGAAGGACCTGGTTTAGGCGCAGAGCCCATGGTGGCTATCTCAGAACATGGTGCTGTTTGATACCCAGTCATGCAAAAACAGTTCATAGGCACTGAAAGAGGAACGTGGGCATCCCCTTTCCCATGCAGTATTCAAGTGGCAATATTCATTGGAAGCATATGGAAGCCAATCCTCCAGGGCTGGAGTTCCCTGAGCTTGGCTCCTCCACTGTAGGCAGCTCCAGTGAAGCAGAGGCTTGGCATCCTGGACTGCAGGCAGCTGCAGGCAGGAGGAATCACCTTCCAGATTTGCTTCCAAAGGAAGATTATAAATTAAAGTCCAATTTGTTAAACCTTTAGGTAAGCAACTCTTTCTACATAAACATATACTAGTTTGTGGGCTGTGTTACACGGCTAGCTGCAAATCTGACTGACTTTAACATCACAGTGTACACAACTGAACCAGAAAGCAAACAGAAGCACGTTTTAAGGTGGCATGGATTAAAAGAACCTGGCTCATGATTTTTCAATAGAGATTGAAAACAGTGATTAGCCTAAACTAACATGTAAAAATTGTGCTTGCAAGGTATGCTAGCACATATGCTACCTCAGAGAGCTTCACTTCCAAGTGAGAAAGAGCACATAACTGCCTTAGCTAAAATTATTCTTCAAGTGAAATAGTCGAAGACTTTAACATTTTCTGAAAGATGGGGTCAATATCTGGAATATATTACAGAAAGGGCTCAAATTACCGCCTCCCCCTGTCATTTGTTATGCTACAGCGTTAGTGGAAAAATCCAAAAGCTCTCTAAGGTCTGTTAGCTAGACAAGTACTCAGCATCGCTAACAAATCCTTGCAGCACCCTGTACTTAGTATCAGCAGAAAGTTCTCATTCCTTCCATCCCTGAACACATACCTATTTAGTAAGGACAGAAGGAACTGACTACATTGCTTTTTTCCTGCCTGTTGGAAACACTCACGCGCACGAGCAGATGCAAATGTTCAGTGCATCTGTGCTCCTTCTCTCCTGAGGTCAGCATTAAGCACCAGAAGAGCTGTAAGTGATCAGTCCTGGCTGATTCAAGCTCTGGAGGAGGTGCAGACAATGACATTAACAGCGGCAGGTTAAATCCAGACAGCTTTCCATCCAAGGATCTCTTGCAGTGTAACAAAAGCCTACCAAGAGCCCGAGGTCCCACCAAAGGCTGGGATGGATGTTCCATCCATACAAGCAGGGATTATTCTCTGCCCTATTCAGTGCTATTTCCCCAGCCCCCAAGCTCTGCGGTACCCCGTGAGAAGGGCTCATCCCTTCTCAGTCATTCCTGCTGGAGCCACTCCAATTTGTCTAAAGGCACTTAAATATTCATTGCGAGAGCAGGGCTCTGTCTGGCCGGGTGCACAAGCTGCTCTCCAGGGAGAGGGGACACCTGCCTTCTCCACTCCCTGCTCCATCAAATCATTAATTATTTAAAATAACAGGAAAGAGCAAGAAAAACTCTCCCCACCAGACATGCTCCCAGCCTGCTATTTACGGTACTCTCTGGGGTCTTGTGGAGACCAGGGAATGCATCTCCCCTCCGGCAGAATCAAGGATGAAACCTAGCTTTCCCCTTCCCTCGGGGAGGATGCTCTACCCGCTGAGCTATTGTGCAAAAAGAAGGGCTTCGCCTTTATCCAGACAGAGCTTATGTTTGCTTTTCCTATCGGGAGCGCATGTCTTTTTTTTTAACTCAATTTGAATAAAAGGAAAACAAAACATCAAATCTAAAGCTCTGAAACCAGCAGCTACCCACAGACCCACGCACAATCTGTGCAGGCTCAAGAGCTAGGGGTCTACCTCCCCATTTCACAGCCAAGTCCTTGCACTGGGTCAGCTGCATCAGTGCAGTGCTTGGCTATGGAGACCCTCAATAGAGGGCTTGAATGAGGTGGAACCCCACAGCTCAGCCATGCTGCTCCCTGCCCTCAGAGCTCTGGTGCAGCAGTGCCCACAGAGAGAAGTTCCTATCACATCAGAGCTGCACAGACCCGAATCGGGGTTCCCGGGACAGGGGTGTCCCCAAAACTGACCTGAGCGCGGGGAACAGCCCCATCTGTACCTTGGGGTTCATCGCTCGCTGCAGCAAACGGTGGCAGATGAACAGCGCTGGCACCCTCATGTGGCCGCCGGGACCGGCGTGTGCTCGCACTCAAACACCGAGCATGGAGGCTGCGAGACTCGGCCAGGAACCTGCTGAGAAGGAGAGAGGGGGCCATGACAAGGACAACGCCTCTAGGCCAGCATGGCGCAGGGAGGGAATACAGATCGGATGTCCCCTCTCCTACCCGGAGACTGGCAGCATCTGACTGCTGGAGAAACCAAAGTCCTGATGGAAGCTCATGGCTCCTGGTGCTCACCATCCTGGCTTTGAGTGATGCAAAGAGTTAACCAATGTTAACTCTTTTTTTGGGGGGTGTTAGGGTTAAGCGGCTTGCTTGACAATGTTATTGCTTGCCCATAACAAACATTTATCATGTTCATTATGCCATGTTAGAACAGGATGGGAGGACAAGGCTACTGATAAGAGGAAGGAACTTTCTGGGCCCTGAAACAGGCTAAAACCAGCCTTGTGGTTTGGACAATGACCAAGTCACCAGGGAGCATGCGCAACTATTAAGGTAAAAAGTTTAAGCAGAGGAAGAGTCATTTACTTCATCTTGAGACCCTCACCCACGACCACCAGGAGTTACTGCGCAGGTGCAAAGGACCTTTTCACTCATTACAATACAAAGCAGGGATAGGACATGAATATGTATAGGTGTGTTGTATAACCTAATAAATATGTATGATTTAAGAGAATGATTTAGGGGAGAGATGAGGTTGCAGTGCGCATGCCTTTCGGGGAACGATCCCCCATGCGCCTCAGCGCTGAATAAAGCATACCTGCTTTACAAGTTTAACCAGTTGTGGAGTCTACCCGCGTATCGTGCGGAGCAGGTCATTCCTTTCTCCTCACACCACCTTCCAACGCGTCTGAGGGCCAAAGAGCAGTGTTCACTGCATCAACCCAAGCTGTTGCCCGATGCCTCGCTCCAAGACTGAGCGCAAGCAAACACAGGAGAGAAAATGGAAGGAGAACACTTGCGTGCCACACTTACCCTGGCAAACCAGATACGGGGAGAGGGCCCAGACCCACACCAGAGACCTTGCAGCGGCTGAACCGAAATGGCTGTGGCAGAAAACATGGCCTTTGCATAGCTCCAGGACTGATTTGCTGCCAGGACAGCCCCTACCTGGCCCTTCCTGATAAGACAGCAGCATCTCTCCAGCCCCAACACGGATGGCACTCACAGGACCAACACCCGGGTTTGGGTTTTAGGTTTTTTTTTGGCTGTTTTGGACCTTTATTTTCCTACTTTTTGCTACCTAACTCATACCCCAGGAGAGGCAGGTACCAGAGCAGGTTCTCCCCCCAACCTCAGCTTAGCTGCTGGTTCCTTCCTCCTCAGGCTATCAAAACGGTAAAGAAAATAAAAGACAAAACCAGACCCAGATGCTGAAACAGGAGATTTAACTAAAATTGAGCGTAGGGTGCTTTTAACCCTCTCCTGCACCGCTGATGTGCCTGGGCTATGTGGTACATGGGAGCATCTCATCCCCTGGAAGCACCCAGATCTGAACCTTGTTTTCAGGGCGAAAAAACCAACAGCCCGGCCCATATTTCCCACATAACGGAATTCCCTCTCCTTCTACATCCGTTTGGAAAGAGAATTAAACCACCCGCAGCCTCCGAGTAGCAGCACCTCGGCGAGCCGCGCTGAGGTAACGAGCGGCACCGGCGTGCAGCCTCCCGGCCCGAAATGGCGGTGCCTGCGTTTCCCCCCTCAACTCCCCTCAAACCAGCCCGAAAACGCCGTGTTCGTGAGGAAAACGCCGTGTTCGTGAGGAAAAGGCTGTGTTCGTGAGGAAAACGCCGTGTTCGTGAGGAAAAGGCTGTGTTTTGGGTTATTTCGCTTTAAATAACAGCTAAAGGGGCGCTGTGCAGCCGCGCTAGGCCCGCCCTGAGGCGGCGGGGCCGGTGCCATCAGCCCGCCCTGAGGCGGCGGGGCCGCGCTATGGGGGACGAGCTGGCGGCGGGGGACGACACCCGTGAGTGGGGCCTCGGGGGGCCGCGCCGGGAGCGGGGTTTGTGCGGTGGCAGAGGGCGGACCCAGCGCCGGCCTCCGTGGGGGCTGTGGGGCAGGGCCGAGGTGCTTTAAAGGCGTCTAAAACCCCACTGAGAAACAAAGCCGGTTTATAGCCTACTGCGGGAAAAGGGGTGATTTAGCCCTAGAGCATCCTGTATCCCGTCCTGTATCCCTAAGATGCTGCATGGAACGCCGGTAACGCTCACTTCAACGTTCTGGCCCCTCTTTATCGGCCGGTGGCTGGCTGTCCGGGGCTGTCTTTGTGTCCTGCAGCCTCAGCAGGCAGTTCTAGCGTGTTTCTTTGCACACCTTTCCTCTCCTTTGATACTGTTTTAAACCTCTTGCGTAATAAGCTGCCTGTGAGTTGGTGCATTGCACTCACGGTGAATGGTTTAAATTGTTTTCCATGCTGTTTGGGATAACTGAATTCATATTCAGTGCTATGAGGTGTGAAATACCCTGGAATGTGAGCTGGGAATAGAAGGAAAACTGCTAAATACCTACTGAAACACTGACTGTTGGATGGGTGCATGGTATGATGAGGAGTGCATTTACATCTACAGGGCTGGCTTCACCAGTGTGGACACTAAATGGGAAACGCAGACCATCAAAATGAAGAAAGAATATGAAATCAAAGGGATGTTTGGCATCTCTTGGCAATGGTGATTGTAAAATGTAAGAACACATTTTGGTCACCTGGGGAGCAGGGACAGCATCATTGGCTTAACTGAAACACAGGATTTACTCCACTGAACAGAGATAAGCTTTTGCAAGGATGTCATTGTTATCCGTTGGTGTTGATAATTGGCATAAACTCTACACACTTTTGCCACGTTCTCCTCTCAAACGAAGGGTCCGTGCAGTGTGGAAATGCAGTCCCATTAACACACCTGACCAGAGAGAACAACGTCTCAATATACAGCACAGAAAATCCGATTCCTGTAGAAATCAGTGTCCAAGTCCTACTGTTTTAACAGCAGGTCCAGCACTCTTGAATGATCCCTATTAAGATCTCTGTTGTGTTTTTCATGAGCTAAAGGTTTTTGTTTGAAGGCAAGAGGAAAAGAAATTTGAGGGTGAAGTTATACCTCTGCTGCCTTATGAGCCTGTAATAGGGGTGCCTTTGTACTGTGCTCCCCAGAGAGAAATGGGGTAGTGCTATTTGAACAGCAAGCGTGTTTATCTCCTCAGTGTGGTGGGATGGCAACACTAGGATGCTTTGATGCCTCTTGTATGGCATATGGTTAATGTCTAGCCAATATGTTGATACAAGCTGCAGTTGCACTGAGCCCCTGCTACCCTCAAACTGCAGCCTGAGATATGCAGAAAAGAGCAAAGCCAGCTCTCCAGTGGGATGTGACTGGCTCAGGGTCTAACTCAAGCCCTTCTTGAATGGATTCCCCAATAGTGCTGGGGCAGAAACTGAGTCCAACAAAGACTGACACCAGCCTTGCCAAAATCCTCCATCAGGCTGCAGCAGGCCCAGAGTCGCAGCCTTGCTCTTGTTTCTTGGCAGGAACGTTTGCTCAATCAAGGAGAAGATTGCTGGGGCAAGGCCCAGCGTGGAGAGCTAACACTTAAATTGTGCCTAACTGTGCAGGACAAATGCTGCCAGTCAGCTAAATTAGGTGCAGAACTGCCACGGTCTATTAAGAGATGCAACACTAATCACAGGCCAGGCTAGTGGTTTTGTGCTGCTTGGCTGGTGCAGGTTGCCTGAAGGGGAACAGCAGGACCATGTGTAAAGACCTCCTTGTAGAGCAGTGGGATGTAAGGGGAAGGATGGAGGAAGGGGTCTGTGTCTTCTGCCCCAGCCCAGGCCTTTGCACCAGCTCTGGGCCTTGGCGCATGCCCAGGGGACATGGCCTAATGGGTCAGAAGGTTTTTGAGCTGGAGCAGAGAAAGACATTGAATTAGAATTGAAGCCTGTAGGACTGGAAGAGCACTGATGTGGCACAGGGTACTCAGGAGACAGTTGGAGAGGACAAATCCAGCAAACACGGCAATGTCCATAGGGCTGGGATTCTTGCTGGAAGAATCTTTCTGCACTTGAAGGCCACTTGAGATGAAGGGGAGGTTTGTTGGGACATGCTGCCCTGTGCTCCTTGCCAGCACTGTTTTAATGCCCACTCTTCTGTCTCTGCTGCAGTGCTTCATTCAGAGAAGGAGTTCCACGATGCAGCGAAGCGTAATGACACGGCCAGGATGGAGCAGCTCATCAGGAGAGGGGTTGACATCAAAGCCAAAAACAATGTAAGTCCTTGGGTTTTCCACCTCTGGGCTGCAGGAAGTGGGGAAGGTGTGTTTCAGAACTGCTCTTCTGGTTAGCCACTCAGTTGGTCAGAGCTGTAAAGTACACCACCCAGTGCTCAATAGGGCCTGTGGCAACTGCGCAGTTTCACACAGCATTGTCATCTTGGCCAGACTGGAAAGTTGCAAGCACTGAGGGAGGGTAATAATTTATGGTTCCCCTGGGAACCTGTGTGCCAGATACACACAGCTGCAGTGAAAGGTTTTGATTTTGCCATCTCTGTTCACTGAGGCTCTGGGACTAACAGTTCCTGGTGCAGGTCTCTCATTGACCAGTAGGCACTTGGAAATACAGGATTGTACCCATCCCTACTGTTTCAATCAGTGGTCAGCAATGGTCTTTATGCCTGTACTGTTGTTACAGTCCAGAACTGTAGTTTCTGGGTAGAAGATGACTAACACTTGTCTGCCTGACAAGAGAGGAAAGAGAGAGAGGGCTGTGTCCAAAGAAGGCCTTGCACAGTGTGAGAAGTTCTGGCTGCATAGATGGCAAAGGAGATTTTGGCCTTCAGGAAGGCTGGTGGATAAACACACACTCTGCATACATCAGCCTCCCCTCTCTTCTTCCTTCCCTTACAGGCAGACCGGGCTGCCCTGCACTGGGCTGCAGGAGCAGGGAACGTGGATGCTGTGCGACTGCTCCTGGACCACAATGTCCCGGTGGATGACGAAGACAATGTACAAAGGCTCCCTTATATGTCCTGCAGATGTGTTCTGTGCTGGGGGAGCACCGGGGCTGGTGCTGGGCTGAAAGTTACAGACATCACCTTAGCCCTGGGTGGGTGGCACAAGGCATTGCAGTGCTTGGGAAGCTGTGGCAGGTGCAATGCCTTTCTGGAGCAAGCCTTGTTTTCTGCTCTTTTTGGCCTTCTGCTTGCATGCACAGTGACCAGGAAGTAGGCTGGCAGAATCAGTGAGAATGATGGGGATGGTGGTGGCTGCAGATAGCTGCGTCTCTTTTCTTTTGCCCAGTTTGGAATGAATGCACTTCTGCTGTCTGCCTGGTTTGGCCACCTCCGTGTCCTGCAGATCCTCGTCAATGCTGGGGCCAAGATTAACTGTGTCAATAGGGTAAGAGAGTCTTGCTGTGTGGGTCCTTCACACAGCTCTAGAGAGTGATGGATGGGGGAGAGGCTTTTCTGTGAGCTAAGGTGATCATATGTGACAGCATCTGCTATGGTGACTGCCATCTCCACTTCTGCCTTATTCCTAAACCAGGAGTAGTATTTGTAGCTTTATGGGTATACATTGCTTGTTCACTTCACGTGTGCAGTAGTGATGTGGAAGGTGTTATAGAAATGGGAAACAGGTTTAGTGTATCAGCAGTCTTTGTATTTTTAAACAGACCTCGGTCAGGAAAAGGAGCATTAGTACTTGAGTCATAACCTGCTGTCTGCAGCACAAGCTAGTTTAGCCCTAGAGGTGGAGGGAGGCATGGAATGGGTCATTGCTAATGGAAACAGCTTGTTAAGAAGAGACTGTACCTCAGTTCTGGACTTGTTAAATGAATAGTCATTTATTCCTGTTCTCCTCTCCAGAATGGCAGAAACCTGCTCCACTGTGCTGCTCAGAAGGGACACATCCAGGTAATGGAGTTCATCATGGAGGACCTGGAGGATGTGTGTGTGGATAAGACAGACAAGGTAGGAAGGCTTTTCACACAAATGTAAACCAGAATAAAACTTAACAGAAGAATAATTTTTGAAGTGCAGCACTTTTTCCCACTGTGGACTGGATTATTGTCCAAGGAATTATCGTGTTGCTTACAGCAGATGCTCTAATCTTGTGCTTTCTGAGCCTTTCTTGGACTGTATTTCTTTGTTTCCTTGTTTCCAAAGTTGGACAGGACAGCGTTCCACCTGGCTGCAGAGAATGGGCACCTGGAGGTGGTGGAGTTCCTAATTCGACTGGGTTGTTGTCGCGGTGCCAAAGACAAGGTACAGGCATAAAACACACAAAAGGGAGGTAAATTCCAAGGATTAGAGGATGTAAAAGTGAGGGAGCAGGACACCAAATGAGGCTCATGCAGGCAAACTGTCAGCAGTTGTAACTGTGGTTGTGGTATGTCAGGGCTCTTCTTCCCTATCCACTTGCACGCCATTTGCACCTCAGTCCGTGTTGGATTTCTCTCCAGTGCTTTTCAGATGGGATACACAGTGAGCCTGGTGGTCCATGCTCCAGTTAAGGTAGCTGGGCTCCTTGCCTCACTGCTGCCCCTAATAGAAGACTGCTTCAGGCTTGTGATACTGGTTACAACCTCCTTTTCAGTCATGCTGGATATACTCTGTGCAAGGTTGTGGCATATGAACACTCAGTCCTGTGATACATACATGTATGAAGTGGTTATACTTTCAGGAAGAAAATACAGCATTGCATTTAGCTGCTAAAAATGGACACCTCTCTGTGCTTCAGAAGATTATAGATGCCGGAGTCGACCTTGATGAAAAGAACATGGTAAGTGTATTTAGATGAAATAAACCCCACAGCAGTTTTACCCTTTCCCTCCCTAGACATAATCTCCTGCCACAATCAGGCTGAGCACTCAGTATTGACAGGAGAGGTCTAGAGGATAGCTTTTACCTAAAGTGTATGTGTTCAAATGCAGGTCACAGTTGCATAGCACCAGTGAAAAGCAGCATCTTCCTTGGACCAATATCCAGTTCTAAAGTGTTGCCTTTTACTTCTGTATATGCTCACCTTATCACTCAATTTGATCTCCATTTTTTTCCCTGACCCTTGTACATTCAAGCACCTAAATAGTTATCGAGTGTGCTTTAAACTACACTTTATAGTATTGACTTAGTCACTGAACATATGGACCTTCTGTTTGAGATGTCTTTTTAACAGACCTGCTTTGGAAAATTATGTGGGTGGAACATGGTTAATGACTTGATAGCAAATATTGGCTTAGTAACGTTGTTATTTATTCCAGGGCATGCTCCCAATTGAGCTTATCGGCAGTTTTTTTAGTCTTATTTAGTTACTGTCTTTGAAAAGTATATTTGATTGTGATTAAGATCTGAAAGAAAAGGGACACCACCTTCTGTGGTAACTCTGGTGGCATTTGTTTTCCCCCAGATGAGCTGCCCTTTGTGCAAAGAGCAATAATCAAAGCAGATTAAACCTTCTGCTTGCTTCTGTTTTCATGTAAAGAAATGAGCTCTGGACCTCAGAAGGGAGAACGAGTGGTTGGGGGCCATGATTTTTCAGGTCCTCCTGTGGCTGTCTCTGGGCTATTCCAAGAAAATGGCTTGTCTTCATTGTCCATGTGAAATGCTCTTTTGTTTGCTAATGGGCTGAAAGAGAGGAAAAAAATAGGAACACGATGTTTGCCTTGTGGCCCATGGGCCAGCTGTCTCCAGTGGCATAAGGACAGAGCAGTACTTGGGCATATCAGTGGCAGGTAACTGTGCCCTTTATCTTCCTAACAATACACTGGAGATCCACGGCCCTCAGAATTGGTATTTTAACATGTAACAGGTTCAGAAGACAGGGTAGAGACCTCATTCTGCTGCTCTGTCTGCTCCTTGTCTACAGAAACGCTGCTTGTCTCCTTTTTTGCCTTGTCCAGGAAGGACTTACAGCTCTGCACATGGCTGCTGAGGGGGGTCACAGTGACTGTGTGAAGCTGCTCTTGGAAGCTGGTGCTGATGTCAATGCTCAAACACAGGTTAGCTCCACAGGGGTGGTTCCATTTCCAAACACGACTGTGTGGATTTTTGCCCAAATCTGTGGCCTTCCAAGTAGGGCACCTATTATTGAATGAGGCCACGTGGAGCCCAGCACTTCACAAACAGTGCAGATGGCTTTATACAAAGAGGCGGGTGATGCTCTGGCTGTGGAGACAGTGTCTGTGAATTTCTTGGTATGGGAGCTTGGGGCTCTTGCAGGAGAGAAGCAGGGAGACCTCTGTGGATAGCCTGTAACAACTGCAGCCCTGAGAAGCCCTGACTCACACCCATCTCTTTTGATGTGCCTCCCAGAAGAAGATGAACTGCCTTCATTATGCTGCACTGCATGGCTACGAGGAGACAGGCAGGATCCTTCTGGATGCAGGAATCCACATGGATGCTGTTAATCACGTAAGTCTGATTAATGCTCTTATCACTTACAAAAAGGTAAAGCCAAGTTGTGGAGCTATTCAAGAGCACAAAGCAACTTCACAAGGACTAGTGCTGCTGTGGTGTCTGTGCTTATGGAGCAGTGCCCCCAGTCTACCTCCAATCCAGGCTGGAATCTGTCTTGGAATAAGACATGCTGGGCACAGCATGATCCTTTCAGTGCCTGAGCTAAGCTCTTCCTAAGCACAGGCTCTTCTTTCCACAGCAAAACACATCAGCGACACACATTGCGGTGCTGCAGAACTTCCCAGCCATGGTGAAGCTCTTCATCGATGCAGAGTGTGACCTTGACATTGCAGATAATGTAAGACTGCAGCTCCTGTTCTTTGAAACGTGAACCAGTTCCATGGGGGATTTGATCACCTTGGGGATAGGATTAGAGAAGAGTGCTTTAAAATGGGGAAAACCTGGAAGCTTAACTTTGGAAACATGAGAGCTGTGAAATGATTGAGTATTGCAGTGAGGTAACCAGTTGATGACATTCAACACCTGGGCTGTGCTAGGTCTCAAATAGCATCAGGGAGGGTTTCTAGTGCTGGTGCTGGGGCAAACCAGTTCTGCTCAGCTTGAGGAACTTAACTCCAGTTTGAGGCAGGAGGGTGTTTAGCCCTCAGTTTAAAAAGGGATAGAGGGGAAGGGAGGGCAGAGCTGACAGGGTTCTTACAGCACTTGCTCCTGGTATTGTTCTGTTCTGTCCTTCCAGCCTCATACTTGTCTTCCTCTAAAACATAGACCTTTTCCTCCTCCTGCAGAGGCAGCAGACCCCTCTGCACATCGCTGCAGAGCACGGCAGGCAGGACATGGCAGAGATGATTCTCATTGCAGGAGTTAATCTGAAGCTAACAGACAAGGTAAATGTCTCCATGGGTCAGACAGATTCCGTGGGGTCAATATGGAAGGGAGGTTAGTAATAATATTAAAATCTGGGTATTTCCAGGGAGAAGGCCTTGAAACACTGCTGAGCAGGTTATTTTGCATTCTAGTTAATTCAACAAAAGCATTGTGTGAAAAGCAGATATATATTATAGCAAAAGGAATTCTAGAGGAATCGGGTAAGTTGCGTGCAGCCTGAAAGTGTGGTACATATACAGAAAATGCTGAAGCGGGTTTGGGCAGCCTGTGGAACCACAGTGGGACTCAGCACAGGGAACATGTTCCCACTTTGCTGTGTGAAATTTGGTTTCTGCTCACATCTGAGACTAGAACTGCTCTCCCTGGCATGCCTGAGGGCTGGGCTGGCTCGCTTTCCTTTGTGCAGCATTCAAATCTTGTTCCTTTCTGCTATAAGCTTTTAGATACAGACACAAATCATCCCTGTGCAATCCCAAATTATATTCATGTTAAGGAGTGTAATTACAGTTTCATAGTCCCATCAACCTGTGCTTCTCCTAGGAGACTGTTTCTAATCATGTGTATGTGGAGCCTATAAAATTAATGAGGTTGTATAAATCACTGGAGTTTCATGTGCCAGCAAACCTGCTGTGCAAAAGACTATAAAACACCTCAGACTGTAGTGCTGAGCTGGTCCTTGGCTGGCTGCACCCATGTTGCTGGGGGCCTAAGAGCACCCTGCCTTCCACTGAGGGATGCAGGATGCTTTCCCGACCAACAGCAAGATGCTGCAGAGCCTGGAAAAGGACTCCTCTTGCCCTTAAGGCAGTAGCTCCAAGCTAGCTCACATCCAAGGTGTGTACAGGTGGAGAATAGGGATTGTTCATCCTCATTGCTCAACAGGCCATGCTGCCTGCTACTACAGACTGTGGGGTGGGCATGGAGATGGTACCTCCTAAGCAAGCAAGGTCTTGTCCAGCTCATTTGTCCCCTTCTCATTTCAGCAAGGGAAGACATCTCTGGACGTTGCTGCTCGGGGCAATCACATCAACCTGGCAGACATGATTATCAAAGCCGATCGGTTTTACAAATGGGAAAAGGTGAGCAGCATACACACCATCCCCTGTGCTTCCCAGGGCAGCTGTGGCTTTGTCCTCTCCATGGTACCACCTGTCAAAAGGAAAAGAAATACAGGACATGCTGGGACAGCCTGACCTCTGCTTTCATCTCCTTACTTAAGAAAAACAGAAGTCCTTAACATGCCCACAACATCTGCTTAAGGCTTTCCTTATTTAAAACAGCCCCTGTTGCTAAAAAACCCAGGCTGTGCTGAAGGGAATGGGGGTTTTCAAAGATTCTTTGGCAGCTGTTCCCAAAGCCCTGCAGAAGGGACTGCGATACCATTAGCTCCTTTTGCCCAGGAGGAGAAACTGGGAGGCTGGGGAATGAGAGGTACATCTGCAGTATCCTAGCCAAACCCTCTCTTCTGGCTTTGCAGGACAATCTGAACAGTGACTCTGACTCCTGGGTAGCAAAGAACTTGACCTTTAAGCAAGATCACAGGCTGGAAACACAGCACATCCGCTCAGTAATGTGGAGATTGGCTACCAAGTACCTCAGACCTGGTGAATGGAAGAAGCTGGCACATTACTGGAAATTCACTGATGCCCACATTAGGGCCATCGAGCACCAATGGACAGGTATAAAACACCACCCCAATATTTGCCTTCCTTCAGTTGGTCTGTGATTCTAGGAGAGAAGTCTGCAATAACAGCAAAGCATGAATTTGTCTAGGAGTAAAGCACACAAACACAGGGGTTACCAGTTCATTGCTCCCTCCCGAGGCACTTGCCAGACCTGCGAGTTCTTGCTACAATTCCTGTTCTATAGGACAGAAGAAATTTGGTAGTTTTATTTTTTGTCTTTTAAGGAGCTGAACCAAACAGGCAGTGAAGTCCCATAGGATTTAAGAGATATGTTAGTAGAAACAGGTTCTTTGCTTCACAAACAGATCACACCTGGTTTGGTTACTGTAGTTTGCACGATGCAAGGATGGGGCTAAGCTACACTCTGGGGCAGAAAGTCTGTACTGCCATAAGAGGTTGCCCGACAGGCCCAAGCTCATGCATGGCCACTCCATGAGTTTCACATGAATTAGCAATCACACCACAAGCAGGAATTAAGCTAAACTGTACTTTAGAGCCTTCTAGTAGGCTCCAGAGAGGAGAGCGGGATGAGAGGTGTCCAAACTCACCAGTTCAGAAATCCACTCTGGTCAGGGCCATGCACTGCAAGCACAGGATTTCACTTCTGGTTTCATCTTGCCAGGCACTAAAAGCTACAGGGAGCACGGCCACAGAATGTTGCTCATCTGGCTCCATGGTGTGATCACAGCAGGAGAAAATCCAGTGAAGGGATTATACGAAGGCCTTGCAGGGATTGGAAGAAGAGATTTAGCAGGTGCTATATAATGCTTTTGTCTTCCTTCAAATAATGCACACTGAGCACTACTTGAACACTGTGGTGACACAGCGTATGCGGAGGAAAAACTAACACAACTTCACACAAGGTGAAAGCCACCCTGCCCCTTGCTACCTATTATTAATTAACGCATCCTGCCACAGCTTTATATTTTCATAGAATGGTTTGGGTTGAAGGGACCTTAAATCTCATCCAGTCCCAGCCCCTGCCACAGGCAGGGACACCTTCCACTAGAGCAGCTTGCTTCAAGCCCCCGTGTCCAACCTGCCCTTGAACACTGCCAGGGATGGGGCAGCCACAGCTTCTTTGGGCACCCTGTGCCAGCGCCTCAGCACCCTCACAGGGAGGAGCTTCCTAATATGTACTGTAAATCTCCCCTCTGGCAGGTTAAAGCCATTCCCCCTTGTCCTGTCCCTACAAGCCCTTACAAAAACCCCTCTCCAGGTTTCTGTGTAGCAGAACTTTCTCTCTTTTACAGAAAGCATTCGGAAAAAAGCAAACGCCGACTCTGCCTCTCCACGGAAGTGTGTAGCAATGTAGCACCAGGAGAGCACCAGAGACTCCTTCCACTTGTCCTCAAGTTAGAGGAGAAACACTTGCTGTGCTGCTGATCAGGAGGCAGCTGCAACTTAAGGGCTTCTTGTCATCAACAGCTGGCACCACTGTTGCTTCCCTCTCTGGAATAGGGAAGGCATCAGCAAAGCCAATGGCTTGAAATGCCTCTTTACAGAGGAAGGAGAGTTTTGTCAGCTGCTGCATATGGTCTGGGTGCTGTAGCAGGAGCTCAGCGAGCCAGCCTCATTTCTCATACTGTGAGCACCAGGAACTACTGTTTTACTATAACTGGTTTACATCTCATTTTTGTATGTAATTTTTAATTGTCTGTTTGTAAGTTATTGAGGGCAAAGCCCTTGCTTTCAGGACTGTTCTTTACTTACCTTGTTTTGGGAAGTGTCTGTCCCTTGTGTCCTAGTATGTTCAGAATGTCCTTCTTAGGGCAGGAATTTAGAAGAGTCAAGGCTCCCACTTGGTCCTTCTGGAACCACGACGGCTGTGATCTGTAACAGAAAATTTCAGATATCATTAACATACACTGTTTATAGATGTACATTAACCTATACATACTGTTCATGAATCAACCAGGTAACTTCCTTAATCCATAGGTTACACTTTTCAAGCTGTAAGAGAAGAATGATCATTGGTTATCTACACAGCCTCTGACAAGGACATAGTTTTCTTAAATACTTACTTATCACATAATACTTTGCATTTATTTTTTACAGTGTTTCAAGGGTAAAATAATGTCTGTATTTCAATAAATCCAAGTTTTACCCTTATATTTGCAAGTTACATCCTAGTTATTCATTATTAAAACAACACTACATAATTTTTACTTAGAGCTAAACCAGCACAACCTTATCATTAAAGCTTGAGGTAGACTCAAGCTTTAATGTGCTGGTGTTCTTCATCCCTAGAGCTGGCTGTAGAGGCAAACCAGGACCAGGGTAATTTACAGAGCTTTTCTCTTGTAGTCACAACAAGAGACCCTTACTGAAAGTGAAGTTTTATTGAAAACCATCTTTTAAACAGCAAGAAAGTTAAAAATTCAAGTGCTTTATTTCCAATAGAAACAAACTAACTTACAACACAACATATGATGCAACTAAGTGATGGCAACCTTGTCACTTAAACCAAATATTCAGCAAAAATATATGGTGGCTTCTAAGTACACAATTTGCATGTGGCAATATATACAGCTGAGTGAAGAGTATAAAAAGAAATGCTGTTCTGCTGAAGAACATGATAGTGAGGACTTTGGTAGCAAAAAGTGTCTTTTATTTTTAAAACTGTAGTCTTCAAAGATGCTTCCTTCAATTCAAAGACTAAAAGTTAAACAGCTTTATCCTATTGTACTGCTGGAGGTTACTGTCCACAGGCAGATCACTGACTGATCCTGCTGGAGTCACACAGTGATAATCGGCTAACGCAAGGGAAAGGGCAGAGTAGGAACAGTTGCTCATACACAGGAAGACCACGGAACCATTTCCTCATTTTCACCAGTGCTCCAAGACCTATTGCTCTTGTTCATTGCTGGAGTGAAGGCTGATCTTCTGGACTTCCAGCTCTTCTGCGCTGACCATGGAGGGATCGATGGCTGCGTATCGGGTACCGTGGAACTGCAGCAAATGGATCTGTTGAACACAAAGTAATGCTGAAACAAGTGTGGAAGCACAAGGTTTTGGTAAAAAAAGAAACATTTCTCCTGAGTAATTATTGTGAGGATGAAGGCTTTTCAGTGCAAGAGGTGAACCCCCAAAGTCAGTCCCCCATGAATGTGACTACTTCCATCCTTGCATTCTATGTCAGCAATCTGGGAGCAGAGCTCAGGCAAGCCAAGGGGGAAAAACCAGGACAGAAAAGACATTTCCTATTGCTGTGCACAGCAGCAGATCTGGTTTGAATGCAGACACTCACTTGAATATACAGGTTGACCTCAGCACTCCTGCAGAGATAGGGGAAGTTGCCTCCTGTTTTGAGATGAGCTCTTCTGGCATTAGGATAAAGTTTATACATTTCCTCTTTCGCTTCAGTCGAAAGCGCGCTTTGGTCAAACACCTGCACAACAAGTCACAGCAGTTAGGTCTGAATCCCAGTTTGATTATCAAGTCAGACTGGATATATGCTGCTCCTGGAAGCAATTCTCAGCTTCTCTCTGGAACAGCATTAATGAAACAGAAAACAAAGGGAACACATCAGAAAGCAAATGCTGTGATATATGAACATACGGTTGTGTTATGGCACAGAACAGTTCATAAGTTGACAAAGAGTAGTCCTGGTGTTGCCCAGTCAGTAAAACACTTGACTAAATATGAAGGTATGTGCTGCCAGTACTTACTAAGTTGCTAAGAGAATGTCCAGACCCCACCTGGAGGGCAGGAAACAGTGTTTAAGAAAAACACACAAAAGGATGACACTGAGATTAACTTACGTCCATGATGGTTACAGGGATGTCCCGAATTTTATGAGGTTCTACATAGGAGTTCTGGCAGTTGAGGGTAAGTCTTGAGGCGAGCTCGCTCTGGCCTAGGCTCTCCAGCTTGCAGTAGAGAGAAACACTGATTAACACCGTATTTCACTACAGGAAGTTAATGCAGTATTAACAACAGAGCCAAAGAGAAGTTAGTTTTACAGGGAAACAGTTAAATATCATAGCTCCAACTTAGTGTTACTCTGGACGGGACATGCTTAAAGTGTGTTCCATTAGTTGCTCCTGCCTCCAGAGCATGGCCTATAGACATAGCCCAGCACCTCCTCCTCTGCCACCTCAGTTTAACTTCCTCTCTTTTGATCTCCATAAACAGAACCATAAAGGCAGATGGTTGCAGCATCAGGTGAAGTGCTGGGGCTGTGACAGTCATCACCTGACCAAAATCCATCCCTTCCTCCTCCCTCCTGGGTAAGTAAATGAAGGAAGCAGCAGAAATATCCACAACCTCCTGCTAAGCAAATCTTCTACTGAGATGGACATCACAGCATGACAGTACACAGGTACCTACCCTGTCCACCATGAAGTCGATCCCATCGGCCATCTCAGGATCCAGAGGACCAGATGCAAAATTCCCAAGGACAATTTTTTTCAGCATAAAAGCAGGCATTAGCCAAAAGCTGAAACAGAAACAGGATATAACAGCCTTCAAGCACTGAGGACCCCAACGGTGACATGTTTTGTTGTCAGTCCTCCCTTTCCTGGCATAGACTTTGTGCTTTAACTTCAAATGAAATCCTGAAGAAGCTTCAAGAACATGGAGAGGGAAAACCTGGCAGTGAGGTGCTTGAACTGCTCTGGGAAGCTGTTGGTCTTCCATCACAAAAGTGTATTTTAAACATGGTGAATAACACTTTCCTCACTCTAAGTGGTTTTGCTAGAAAAGAGGCAGTTGTTAAATCTGACCACACATCCACAGAGGATCACCAAATGACTGGTCTGTCAGATTCCACACTCCCAGTTGTGAACATTTCCATTCTCCTTATGCTGTGACTTCAAAACTCACAAGTACTCCATCCCACACCTCCCTCACCAGGCTGGAGACAGGTTAGACACATGTCCAGCCAGAGCAGCAGGACGCTTCATCACAGACAGGTTAATGCCATGAATCTGATTGCTTGTCTCAGCCTTGCTTACCTGTTTGCTGTCCAGGTCTGATTGAAGATAGAAGTGTCGCTAAAGGAATTACACAGGATCAGAGACTGAACTCTGGGAGATTTGTGTGTGTATTCAGCAAACTTTTGAGCCAAAAAGCCTCCCAGAGATGCTCCAAAAAGGTGAACCTGGTGCAAGGAAAAGAACCAAAATCAAACAGATCACTCGTGAAAATACGTGACTGCTAAGCACAAGGTTTCATTGCAAAAAATAAGCCACTGTAGTTTTACCCAGTCCTCATGAACCATTTTGTTAAAGAATCCCTCTTCTATTCAACTTCTGGGTCTATGCATGACATAAATGTGATCAAGATTGAAAGAAGGAAATGTTTCCAGACCACAGGCCCAATGTCTGTGTGCTCATCAAGCTTAATAAAAAACAAAAAGGCACATTTCACTTCAGCTTCAATAGCTGTTCCCCAATCCAAGACACTTTGTTGTGGTATCCTGCACCACATGAGCTTGGAAGGGTAACTTCCACAGGATCACATGGAAACCTAAAGTTACCCAATTCAACTTAACAGGCCTAGAACAGCAGCTGAATTTAGGCCAAGTACAACAATTTTCAAGGGTACTCACCTTCAAAAATAAACTAGTTCCAAATGTAAAATTCCAGCACAGCCTCTTTATTTCTAGGCTACGTTTTTGTGTCACGTGTTATACGCCTGCTCTTAAATGAGACTCTCAAACGTTAGTTTTTTATTGCAACACCACATCCATTTCCCTATCCCTGAGCACTCACTTTATCCAGCTGAAGGTGGTCTAGCAGTTTTCTGAACCCATCACAGAACTCCAAGTGATCCCAGTACACTGGATACTGCAACTGAAATAACATAGTTAGAAAAAGCCATCTCGGATCAGTACCTGTCAGCTGTCTCTTTGAAAGCCACCCCACATCTCACATTAAGGGTTTCATGATAGCAACCTGCCTTGCCTGTAGCATGAGGCTCAAGCTTTTCAGCAAGGTCCCTCCAGCCCAAGGATGTGAACACCTCCCCTCTGCTTGCACTACAATACATGACAAGGTACCACAGGGCAACTTTGTTGGGGGAAGTGCAGCATTGCTTCATTCTGTAATCAGTGAGGAGACGCTGGAATGATTCTTCAGTGCTTTTGTGGCATGGGAAGTCGGCAGGCACAGAAACTGTGAACTGCTGTTAGAGTGCTCCTGAAGCTGTTTAGCAGAAATACTGTTGTTCAAATCAATCATCTCAGTCCTGCTCAAGAGCTGACAAGCCACAAAGAGCTGTTGGGATTTTAAGGAGTGACTTAGCAAGCTGGCCAAGAACCACCATCCCCAAGGAAAACATGGAAACCCTGAACTAACCCACGTCTTTGCCTCCTGGCTAACAAAGATCCAGCTGGAGGCAAAGATGACTGGTGTCCAGGGCACACAAGGGAAAAACACACTGAAGTTAATAACATGTATGCACAAGGCTTTGGGTAAACGCTGATGTGGACATCAGAAGATTTCAGCCTGGATCTGCTGCACACTCTGGAGTGCAACTCAGCATCGTGTTCTTTGTAGATTCCCTTAATCAAAACTAAGTTTGCCTTCATTATCCAGCCTCTC